TGTGTGGATTTTCTCTCAGATAATTTCTTAAAAAAAAAATACAGTTAATACCAGTTTAAGTACTCTTTTTGATTGACTCCACTTTAGTTCTAAAGGTAGTTCCTCTTCCATTGCAATGTGTCTCAAACTACTGGGAAATAATTTATTAAAGCCCCAGGAAATGTAAATCATATGCTTATGTTGGCACACAATATATATGCACAAAGTATGTGCTGTGACAAATTTTCCAATGTCTGATGTATTTTGCCAACGTTCTTCTCTCTTGATGTAAACTGGGTGATCCTAATCTTGGGTAATTCATGCATAAGCCTCTAAATATATATGTGGATCAAGGTTTCATCAGACATAAACAAAGTCATTGAGAGCGTTTTGAAGTAAAATGGTGCATTGTAGAGAAAGCAGATTTCGAATGTCTGTAATGGTGGTGACAGGAACCAGGGGTCTTGATGTCTGCAACACAGATATATCCATGTTATTTACTATCCAAAATGACTTCTGAACCTACACGTGTCTTCCGAGTTTTTATAGGTAATGTTGGAAATAATAGAATAGTACTAACTGGATTTTTTACATTTAAAAAAAAAAAAATATACATTTTAGGCCAAAACCTTATTTCAAAACTATTGTAAAATAATGCCTCAGGCGTCAAGCAGCATACTCATAACCATTTTATGTAATAACTTTCTGTGATGCAACTTTTGGAGGCATTAAACACTTCAGCTTGGGTCCTATCACAACCACTGTGAACAATTCTGGACAAACTCTTTTCAAACATTTCATTTCAAACCAGATTTTCAAATTCAAATTGAAATAATAAATCTTTGAAATCTCCTCTCTTACTTATGAACACAAATGTGGTATTGATTGAAAGTTCAGAATCTGTGCTTTTGTTCGAATATTTCTGCTTGTTCCAGTGAGCTACGTGCAAGAAATAATGAAACAAAATTCAAAGTTCAACATGTATAAGAATGGAAAGTATGTTCTGCTTGCTCTGCATTTGATTTGTACAGAAAATATAACGTATTTCTGTTTTACAGGGCATATCTCAAGCAGCCAATTACATCTATAAGAAGCTTGTCAATGATGGCATCTTGAGCCAGGCTTTCAGCGTTGCACCTGTAAGTCTCATCTACAGGAGTGCTAAGCACTCTTAAGTAAAAAGTTCAGCACTGCCATTAAATACAGTCATTGTCCTGTGTCATTTTCATATGAGTACTCTTCTCTTGGAACGAATCTACATGTCATGTAAATGTATGTTTGTGCAGGAGTACAGGCTGGTCATCACAGGTCACAGTCTTGGTGCAGGCACAGCGTCCCTCCTGGCAGCACTGCTGCATAGTACTTACCCCACTTTGAAGTGCTACGCTTTTTCACCACCAGGGGGCCTCATGAGGTACGCATCCAGCATGTCAAGGCTCTATGAAAAGTTTTGTTGCCAGTCAAGTCTAAAATTTCATAACACATTCGTTATCATAGTTATCTAGCCATAAATTTGATTGGTAACACACTGGGATGTATGATAGGACAGTATTGAACATATTAGTGCTTGAAATCTTATAAGATGCATTTTAATTTCCTCCTAATGTCTCCCCTTAGTAAAGCGCTTGCTGAGTACTCCAAGCAGTTTGTGATCTCTGTGGTTCTGGGAAAAGATCTGGTCCCCAGGTGAGGATTATATGCAAATGATATAGACTTACACCACACAGCTCAGAGGTGTAAATGAAAGTTTGCTCATTAGCATATATTCATAGAGCACTTTAGAGTATTGTTCCAAAGTTTTGAATTGCTGTTCAAAGGTTTGCAACCAATGCTTTCAATAATACAAAACTAATTTGGTTGCAGACAAGTGTAAAAAATGATTCAAATGTGCTGGTGTTAGCTTTTAAATAACTAGTAGGACAGAAGGAAACTATAAATAAAAAGTAAGAAATTTTAGATGTGTCCAGAATGATGATTAAGAAGGTTGTACTTTTTATTTTTTTTATTTTAAAATTTTAAAATTTCTAATTTTCACATATTTTTAATTGTAAAGAGTAGCTTTACTGAGTCAGGAGGGGAAAAAAAGCATGCAAAAACATGGTGTGCATGCGCTGCTGTGAATCAGCCTGTAAAGCCTGAAATAGCAACTTAAATATGAGAGGTGCTCAGTCGGATTTCATGGGTTTTTTCAGACTTTTCATATTAATGTCACAAGTACAGGTCTGGTTCAATATTTAGGTCTCAAATACAAAATCAGCATTATGCTAATATGATGACAATAATAGATAATTCACTTGCAACCTCGGAAAACATGTCCTTCACCAGGTTTCGACTGAGTTCTCTTTGAATACTCTTTCAACCCCATTCGCAATCAAGGGGGTGGGAAGGGGTCTGAAGCACAGCTGACATTACAAAATTACAATTATGCATGATTCCAAATCTTACAAAGTTTAACTTTAAGTTCTAAATACATTACAAAATAAAATGTATATCCAGTCATCATATTTCAGAAGTGGATGTCAAATCTCCAGGCAGTTAACTTGACAAAAAATAAGTCAATAAATAATTACAGTATAGTATTTACCATGTAATAATTTCTTGTTCACAGAAGACTTTAAATACTAAATAAAATACCTTTTGATGAATAGTTTATTTTCACTATGAGTTATTATTGTATATAAATTAACAAATATTTTATATACCAGTTGATTCCAAATGTTTGAACAGTTGTTTACATTGACATTTCAGTGTGTTTCTGGTGATACTTTCAAATGTTAATGTCTTTGGCTTTGTTTGTGGGACTACTTTTGCTTCACTTCCCTAAAATAATGCAGTCAACCAAGGTTTCCCTTTCATTTTTTTTTATTTTTTTTGTAGATTGAGTATCCCAAACATGGAAGACTTGAAGAAGAGAATACTGAAGATGGTGTCTAATTGTAATAAACCCAAGGTAAGATTATTTGTTTATTTATATGATAGAAATGATTATGTGAGTCATTTCATTTGTCTTGTTCTCTTCTACGTACCTTATAACTTCTCTCTTGTTCCGTCTGCTCACCAGTACAAGATTCTCTTGCATGGCTGCTGGTATGAGGTGTTTGGGGGAACCCCAGATGACTTCCCCACAGAAATGGAGAACCGGAGGGAGGAGGCATTAAGCCGACCGTTACTTGGAGAGGAGAGCTTATTGGTGCCGGGCTCCACTTCCTATCATAGCATTTCTTCAGATGACTCCCCCACCCTCCCCACCCACCTGCCTCTCTTTCTGCCTGGACGCATCATATACATCACAGAAGATGGGCCCTCACGCAGGTCAGAGCCCAGCTAACTTTCAGCCATTGAACACAGATAAAGTCACCCTGTGTTTCACACGTAAACACTGAGAGCCATAAGATGTTTACAGTGGTGTACAGCCACATATAAAGCCCTTCCTTTTTTAATTAATGAGGTCATAAAAGTACAGTTCACACACACCTACTCATAACTCTGATGAATTCAATGCATTCATGCTCCATTGCATCATGGTAATCCCCTGTGCAATGCCCGCTTTTTAAAACCGCCCTCCTAAACTTTCTAAAACTCATCTAGCGTGTGATAAAAATGCAGAGCTGATAGAAATATACCTTCAAAGTGTGTCTGTCACCTAAAGGTATCTCTTTGTCTTTCTTTCTCTCTGGGCCCTCTCTTAAACCCGAAACCCAGACACTGCTTCTCCCAGGTGCGGTACCGTGCAGAGTGGTCCAACGAGACCGCGTTCTGCAGCGTGCTAATCAGTCCACGGATGGTCGCTGACCATATGCCTGACGTGGTCCACCGGGCCCTGCGCAGCCTCATCAGCGACCGGCCGTTCTCCCTCTGCCCCTCCTCCCACAGCAACAGTCACCTGAATGTCATCTGAGCTCCAACTGCCTGGAGCTTGGATCCTGAAGTGACTGTGGCACTGAACACACAAGGAGGTTACAGGAAGCTTCTCCGTTAAAGACTCCTCTCCCCCAGCCCTGACATTCTCGAGCAGTTCAGCTCGTTCTGATTTTATTTATTTTTTTAATTTGCTGTGTTTGCAGCGCTGTACGCTTCGAATGATACTGTAACATATACTGCATTCTCCCATCAATCGAAGCCTAGTGTGTGTTGTTTAACAGCGTTATGCTGTGATAATTGTGAGAATTCTCCTTAATGTATTTCTGAAGGTTGGACTTTTAATCCATGTAAGGGAAAGAAACATCAGTAACTGTGTAGCAGTGGTGTCTTGTTTGTGCTGTATGTTTTGAAAATCAGGGTGAGTAGTGCCTATGCATAGCTGGATGTGCTCCTGGAAGTGTGAAGCCTAGCTACAGATTAGAGCAACATACAACTCCAGTGCACCTGGAACAGATGCACTTTTGATGCATGGCACTAATACGTTCGATTTGCATGGAAACAATTGACTAAGTCAGCTCATTTACTCAGCCTTTTTGCCATCAAACATTCTCATCACAACATATTCATTTTTCATAATGTCTCAATAAAAATACGTTCATGAGAAACATGTCACTTTGGTTTCTGTCATAATTAAGTAATGAGATCATAATGACACCAAATTATGGAAAACGTTAAAAGTAACATTAAGAGGGACAAAAGACACTGGAATTTACCACGTGCGTTTCTCTGTCAATACAAGACGCTACACAGGGTGCAGAAACATGGCATAAAGTTATTATTTTTATTATTATTATTATTATTATTGTATGTATTCGTATTATGTATATGTATTCGTATTACACTGCATTTATTGTTACTGAAACCTGTTGACAGGTCTTGATGTCAAACTTTAACTTGTTGACCGGATCAGGTAAATCCACAAAAGCTGACTTACCCGTCTGACCTCGGGTGTCTTATTTACTCTCGTAGAAGAAGAAGGTCACTAAACTGCCCAAGAACACAAGAAATGTGGGTTTGTATCCCCGCTGAACTGAAGTGAATGAGGGATTTTTCTGTTCTCCTCTTCGTTCCCGCCCATCCCGCTTTTAGAACGTGACGTCACGTCGTGACGGTCTAGTCAACAACTCTTATGTTGGGACTCTACTTGGATCAACTAGGGAGGGAATATTTGTGTCAAACAAAAGTCTCCGGCGGTCAAAACCGCCTGCCAACTCATTTAGCTCAGTCACTTTTACTTTCTGGACGTGCCCGCGGACGTGACTGAGTCTCCGGAGTCCGTTTTTGGCCGCGAAGTGAAGTCCAAAGCTGGAGAGTTGCCCGGCTAGCTGCGCTAGCTGGCTATCTTAAGTAGTTACGCTAGCAGGCTGCGTTTTCGTAGCCAGGCGGCCAAAGTAAGGAGAAGGAAAAAATGGAGCTGGAGGACGGAGTCCTTTATCAGGAAGACCCGGGCAGTTCGGCGATGATGTCCGAACGGGTGTCCGGCTTGGCGAGCTCTATCTACCGAGAATTCGAGCGGATGATTGGGAAGTACGACGAGGACGTGGTGAAGGAACTTATGCCGCTGGTGGTGGCCGTGCTGGAGAACTTGGACTCCGTGTTCGCGGAGAACCAGGAGCACGAAGTGGAGCTGGAGCTGCTGAAGGAGGACAACGAGCAACTTATCACGCAGTACGAGAGAGAGAAAGCGCTGAGGAAAGGCGCAGAGGAGGTGGGTTTTACACAACTTTGTTTCTCGGAGCACTTTTAGGGTGAACTAGGCCAGCTTCGCCGGTGGCTTAAACATTAGTCCTGAAACTACTTCAGAAACAACACAAACTTTAAAGACAGAATTGGTCCCTTTTAGATATTTGTCCATTTAACTAATGAACTAACGCGGCGACTAACTTACTGTACAACCGCTAGTCTACAGTGAACACTCAGAGGTGTTGACTGAGATTGAAATGCGGTTTACAGACTGTTGCTGAACTTCCTATCACCCATTCATGTTGACTGTAGGATCATATATTAGCATATTTACTTTGATAGCTAATTATTCATTTGCTTTGTTTTCAAGATGATCAAAAAGTCTTGTAATCTGTTAGAGGACATTTTAGTGAAGTCATGTAAAGCCCCTTGTCATTTCCCTCAGGATGTGTCAAGTCAGCTTTTGAACAAAAAGGGAACTATATCTGCTCAGCTTGCAGGTGCCTGCATGATTCGTCTAACTGTCATGCGCGTATAGCATACACACAACTAAAATAGAACTAAAGTCACACCCAAGATAATATGGCAAGATAATGTGCAAGCCCTGTCATGTCTAATCTGTTGTTTCAGCATTACAGTTGAATATGAGCATGGTGTGTCTAAAAGAGTGCTTCTGGGGTGCACTGCCTTTTTGTTGCACTTTAGAGTACAGAATCATGCTACTTAAACATGATGGAAAAAGACATACTAGTTTGAATTGGTTAAGGTGTTTTGAACACCCCTCTTACGGGTCTTGCCCAATGACGGTAAGTTAATTTAAACCCTTCACTTACACTGTTTTTATTCATAGTTTGTTAAAGTTTACGAAAGTCTGTAAGTCGTATAAGCAGCATTTCTTCTCAGTTTACATCATTATTCTGTCCAAGGGCTATGTGTCAAGTCCTACATCATGGCCCACACTGGTAAAATGAATGAAATGAAGTATAGTATCATTCAGTTCATCCTCTTTTGGTTCTGCAAATAAAGCAGTAATACAGACACAAGAGCCAGACTTTCAGCTGTGTAATTATGCACACTTTTTCTGTAACTAAATGACTATTAGAGCAAGTTCTTGATGTCTGCTCGACTTGTCCTATGCCTAAAGGATGTCTTTGGTGTCAGCGTCAAGGAAGTCGTAGTTTTACATGCTGTTATGTGTAGTATCAAAGAATAAAACCGCTTTCAGTAGGTTTTAGTGTTGAAACAGTCATTAAAGTCATTATGACGTGGTATCAGTCTGTGTTTATGAATAATTAATGAATGAAACTGCATTCCGTTCCACAGGGTCCCTAAGCAGTACCGTTATATTCCTTACACACTTGAGTACGAGATGTCGGTGAAGGGATCTGCAGTTTCATTCGCAATGTCCTGCAGCATCGTAATCAAACAAGTTTCTTCAAGAGACCTGCAATTACTCATGGGTAAACTTTCCTGCAGCTTCCTGTGAAGTGATATACTGTTGTTCACTATTCCCTGTGCCGTCAACAGTTCCCTTACAACCAAACCTTTTTCGCTTCCTATGGTTTGGAATCACTCTTAAAATGTCTGAACGTCTTGTGCAGTACACTTTGCAGGGAGCTGCAAGGGCAATTGGGAGGCACTTTGAGGCTTTTGCATTTAAATGAAAATGGCAGCAACTACTGTGCAAGTTACACTGTCATTTTTTCATTGAAAAGCTGTCAAAGTCAAAAATAATAATCGTCTAGCAATTATCTAGCATGTTTTATTTAAATTACAGAATCTCAAAGTGCTTTAAACAGGAAAGTAAGCAAAATATTGGAGAGATGAAACATCGTAACTTAACAGTAACATCACAATTATAAACTATAGAACAACAAGAGACTCAATACACTAGCCGAATGCTGCCCTAAACAAATATGTCTTTAATCTAGAACTGTGCTTAATCCGTGTAAAGAAATGTTTTATATTGTCTCTCCAGATAATTTTTTGCTGGATTGTAAAACGGAGCTGTGAGAATCACACAGTCATTCAGGTCAGTCTCCACTGAGCTCAGCCTCCACACTGAACTGACTGCCAGTCGCTCCTGCTCAACAGTCACCCGCTTGTTCCGAAATCCACAGAGACACCATGATCCACAGAGGCACACCATCGATACACTGCCTTCCTTCTGTATCTCACTCCCTGGCCGATCCTCCTTTATATGCCTGGCCCTCTGTGCGATGGCAACCGCCAAGTGAAAGTGCTCTCCTTTTTTCAGAAGCTGGGGTAACTTTCACGTCACGTGATCCTTTGTTTGGATCAACTGAAGTGAAAAGATGGCATGCGACCCAGTCTTTTGGTTTACCTCTAGGCTTTGTTTTGCTTGTCTTTGCCGGCTGGTGCGCAGCGCTTCCCATGTGTCATGTAGGTTGTTGCCAGTAATAATGGTACGCGGCATTTCTTGTCTAATGTGTTTAACAGCTTCCGTTATTTTCAGGAGACTTACTTTTAGTTGGTAAATCTGCAGGGATATTTTTCCACACCTCCAAAGTGTAGTCTTAGAAGTTGGTTGCGTTTTCTGCTTCCTTTTAGACTCATAATGTTGAGTTGTCTTCTTACAGTAAAAGGATGGACAGAAACATCTGTGGATGTTTCATGTCTGAATCAAGAGTGGAGTTTAATTTTCTCCTCTCTCTCAAAGATGAAAACTTTAAGTACTGTTTATCTGATGGTGGCAGTTTTGGTGGTCTGTCAATGCCTTGTTGTTGGGAGCACGTTGAAAGAGTATTCAAAGAAAACTCAGTCAAAGCTTGGTGAAGGAGGATGAAAGTGGATTATCTACTGTTGTCATCGGGTCTTCCATAAGACCTAAACGTCGAGTCGGACCTTCTTTTTGAGCCTGTGCGTGTAATGTTAAAACGTAAGTTTGTATGAAATCTGACCCAGCACCTTTGACTTTCATTCATCATTTAGCTTGTTTTTTTTTCCTGACTCAATAAAACTATTTAAATTTTAACTAAAAAATTGCATAGTATTGCTTAAATCATTTTTCTGAAACCTAATTTCCACTTATTCTCCTTTGATTTACCATTCCTCATGCAAGTGGATTATTTTATATCTAATCTCAGAAATATCTCCTGAAAGTTTGAATAACTTGTACTTCATGGCTGTTTTGACTGGTAATTAAGTCTTCATATTTTTGCACAGTACTGTATGTTGACTATAATCCCACTTGACATGTAGTAAAAGGTGTTAATGTGACACCGTGGTTACAACTCAGTGAGTTTGCACTTAACTGTAGGACAAGCACACTTTTGTGTGAAATCCTAAAGGGTGCCCCATGACCCCAGGGTGTCATTATACATTTAACCCATTATGTTCTGTGCGCTTCCTGGAGTAGGATAACATAGAAGCTGTAATTCTAATATGTGTCTATGCATCTATGTATTTAGTATACGGTTCATAGTTTGGCTATTACATTTTTTACGAATGTTCCCAGTGTCAATCTGATGCACTGTCTGTGTAAAATTTGTTGATCAGAAAGAACTAGATAACAATTAAAAGTTTGTCATGTCATTCTAAAAGGGCCTGTACCCTGACTCTGATACCCCTTGGCAAGATGTTAAATATTTGATCACTTAGTGCTTAAAAGATTAGTGTTGTAATCCTGGCTCTTGTGTGCATAATTTCATGCCATTCTTTGGTGTTCTAGGTAATTTATAATACCATACATCTATGCCAACTGTTAAAAGTCTTCACTTGACTCTTTAGACACTGAGAGGAAATGTCAGGGAAGGGCCTGGAATGCACCGGGAAAAAGAACTTCCTGAGCCCCTTTTTTTCAGTCAGGATATTTCTTAGACTGCTTTTTTTTCTTCTGTCTTCCTGAAGCTACGTTACAAGATCTCTGGGGGTCATTCTTTGGAATGATCGATGGGATCCTCAGCATGTTTTGCTGAACTCAAGAATTCATGCCTTTCATATGTTTGTTACACAATCCGGTAACACTGTGTCAGTGTTATATTACACTTTTGTTTGTGTGGTGGCAGTTTTTCTGATGTCAGTATAGTTTGATGTTGATGCTAACAGGAAGCTTTTAGCTTCCAGTGTGAGCTCTTAATCTATTGATCCTCTTTTTGAATATCTAGGCCTAGCTCCAACAGTTAAAATTCATTTCTAACCCTGATGTAACCTTTTATGTCACTGTGCAAGAAATACAGGGGTTATTGCTTTACTGTATTGTTACTAGGCCTGGACGATATCCGAAAATAATTAACATGATATTTTCTGGTTAAAAAAATTATAATTATCAATTATATGCCCACCCATTCTCTCTCACCTCTTGTCCCAAAACGTTGATTATCGCTTTTACACATTGCCATTGAGTTACTTGTCCATCAATGATCAATGATATCCAGTTACATCACTCAATCACCCATATATTGCTCCAGTCAAATTGTTGCGAGGTCAGAGATTTGCACTCCTACTAGGAAGTTGCAAACCGTACATTTGTTGAACAGGAGAAGTATCATTAACGTACTGGGGAAACACAGCTGTAGACACTAATCTGCAACAGGAAATTATTGCCTAGTTGACAATCAGAGCAAAACACCAAAAATCCAGTAGACAGAATGACTAATTTTCACTGTAACAATGATGACAATTACTTGATTTTCCAAAGGTTAGATACAGAGTGGCAAAAGTGTAATATCATGATATTTAAAGAGGTTTTCACAATACACAGTATTTGATGTCTGATGAGTTGGAACAGACTGCCACATTTAAACAATACAACCAAAAACCATGAAAATAATTTGTATTTAACTTTTCACATAGTGTTCTACACTAAACCCAGTTAAACAGGACTAATGATGCTCTCTTTGTAATCAAGCGTGCAGTTTGCAAGTGTTTTTAAGTACTGACTTTATCCACGATATGCTCAGAAAACATATCGTCACATGATGTGATAAACTAGATCATGTAAACACCACATATTGTCCAGCACTAGTTTGATAAGTGCACCACAATAAAATATATTGATAAACA